AGTAATTTTGATGCTTAGATGCATACCAATCATGTTAGTATTCTACAGCATACAGTTACATACTAAGATTGTTAATATTTCTAAACAAATCAGAAAGAAAAATTACATTTCCTTAAGGCAAATATGAAAACAAGAATGTACATTTTATGAATTAAAATGAATAAATTATACTAATGTAAAAATAAATATTAATATGCAGTTCCTATATATATCCTAGGAGAGATTTAGGTCCATGAATTGGAACTATCTCATCAGTGTATCAACCACAGCATTTCTAAGTATCTTAAGGACTCAAAAAGCTGAAAAGCTATACATGCCATTTCCCCTTTGCTTGCTTTTAATTTTTTTATTTGTATTTTAAAAGTTTTAAATTTTACAGTATTCAAAATTTTATTTGTAATTTATATATATGTCCATTAGTGACTTTAAGGGTGGTCAGGAAAAAGACAAATAAACTTTAGTCAAATGACTAAGAAAAATCTTTGCAAGTAGGGAGTGAGGTACTCTGGCTGGAACTATTCATTAAACAAAATGCTGTGTTCCAGAAGGTAATTAATAAAATGTTCTGTCTGCTTCAGGACAATACTGCTTACTAATGGACACTTACAATTTTTGAGGTATTTGGAACATGTCTATCTTTACTCCAGATGCTAAAACTTCCAGAATTTGCCAAACATTATTGGAAAGGATGAGAGTACATTTTTTGTTGTTGAACTCTTCCCATACAAATCTGGCCTTACCAAAAAAAAAAAAAAAAGGAGACTGTCATGTAGTGGGGAAGGATTTCTTATATTCAGGTCAGTTAAAGCTTCTGCCAAAGATACTAACATCTTTTTTATGGTGCATAGTGTTATGCATGCCAACTGCATATTAAAAGAGGAATGAAATTTCCTCACCGTTTTATTCTTCTGACCATGGAACTGGCAGAGAGTCAAGTGCCTTTTAAAACTGTAGCAAGGATCTTATCACCTGTACCTAAAATTTCATGTAAGGTAGTATAATAAATATTTGGAAGATTATGTTTAATTGTACCATGTAAAAGTCTGACTGCATAAGCACCATTTTAGACACAACACAGTAGGAAGTACTTTCTTGTCTAGAAATTAGCATAGGAGTCCTCTGAAGACCTGGGAGGATGCTCCTGTGATTTGTGGAGGTACTGCACTATATACTGGAGAGTGGTTAGGTCATGTCCAGAGAGAGCAGCTCTTTTTCATAGGAGAATATCTGCAGAATGAATGAAATTAGTATCGGGTATTAATCTGAGTATTTTTGTCTAGAGTCCAGTTTTGACTTTGTCATGGAATGTTAGCCTTGGCTGAAAAGTAAACATTACACAGCATTTACCACAAAGTGGTATATATCAAATATATTGAATAGGAATTAGACTCAAAATCTTTATGTGGCATATTTTTGTAGCTAGCTTTTTATCATATTGATTATATTCGAAGTACATCAATATCTTCCTATTTTTTTCATTTTTTTAATATGGTAAACATAGTAGGGATATTCATGATCATAGGTAGAATAGATTTGGCACAGAATGGAACATGGGATCAGTGAATATAGCCCTGGGATGCAAAGGCAGGGTTTGTATTTTTCTTTAAATAATAATTTTAAATGAACAGTGACAAAATTGAGATTCCAATACTTCCATTGAAAAAAATGCAAAGAAGTCTGTAGAAAGATAAGTTATTTAAGAATTATGTGAGATTTTACTACTATTGTGGTAAATGGAAACAGAAGGTGTTTGTCATCATTCACACCAAACCTTGGTTTATTCTGTTTCCATCTTCTAAATGAGATGATCGGAAATAAACAAGACTTGATGTAATTTCAGTGCTTGTTAGTCAAAGTGATGGTCACAGTTTTGATCTGCCAGGGGTGGAGGAAGCCCATGAACATAGAGTTCAATGGATTAATATATATTCAGGTTTACGTGGGAGTGCCCAGACACCTCTCCTGGGGAGGGGAGTTGTGCACTGTCTTTGCAGAGCCATGGATCTGTTGCAGCTGTGGATCGTGTGCAGTCCTCTGGTGGAAGACCCCAGAAGCGAGTCTGGCAGCTATGATCTCCCCCTGCCAAACCCAGCCAGGGCTTATTTTCAGCACATCTGCTGAGTTGGCTTTTCCTGTGGATACATTCCTCTCAGCCTTGTTTACTTCTCCTTAGACCTGAGATAATGGGACAATAATATCACCTTTGTCTTATCTCAAGTTCCCATCAAGAGGCTTAATTTACTGTCCAAACTTCCAGGAATTCACAGAGGCATACTGGGGAGAGGGAGAGAGGGGAATTCTGTGGTCTTGGATGAGTACTTGCTTCTTTGTACAGTTTGCCACAGTGGGCAAAGTCCTTTGGTGATTACCTTAACAGTGTTTGAGCCATTAACCATTACCTGTGGATCAGTCAGAGATTTCTCAGTAGGATCTCCCAAGGCTGCAGCTCATTCTGCTGCTCATTCTTTCCTGCTCATGCTACTTCCTTAACTGTTGCCATGCAGCAGATGCAGGTTTTTGTGAAATGTTGCTGTTTTGATTTAGTGGCATTTCATGTCTGCTGTTTTTTTTCCTATTTTATTTCTCTTACAATTATTTTTCTGTATGTTTGGAAGACAGTAAAAAAGAAGGAGCTTTGAAGTTCTTTATTGATGGAAACATTGCAAAAAAGTTCAGATTTATATTCTAATAATTTCTGTGCAGGGATGTTTCTCAAAAGAACCCTTAGGACATATCACTCACTCCTGTTGAATTCCAGTGGAATTTCAAAGTCTTAATTCCTTCAGGCTCTTCTTCCCAATTCTTTATACCTCAAACATCAGTCTTACCATAAAAATGATTTATTGGTAACACCCCTCAGTTGAAAACCATGAGGAGGCTCTTAGGGCAATTGTTTTCCTTTAATTACTTGGTATTTCTATCCAGATTTCATATTCTCCCCTGCTGCTCCTGATCCTCCATGATATTATGCATTTTGTCACTTTCCCTGGTGTGCAACTGAGCTGATAGGTAACTTGCTATTTGTAAATGGGATTTTAAGTCACATGATATTTAACAAATAAACAACATATAAATCAGCAAACAAAAGAGGACAATTAAATGTGATCTATCACAGAGAAGTGAGCAAACCACTTGTTATGAGGTAGTTCTCTAGCAGTGATGAGGTACTGAACAAAATCAAGTATATCAAAGAAATCCATCTTTTGAGGTTCATAATTTTCTATAAAACATATATATTTGCTAAAATATTATTAGAGATAATAGAAAATGTGATTAAAGAAAACCAAGCAAATTAATTTTCAGTGTTCTGTCATGTTAATTTTATTTAATATATTATATTTATATAATAAATGTTAATATAATTAATATATGTTAATATAATTCATGTTAATTTTATTTACTATATAATATTTATATATTTATTTAATATTTTAAATATTTAAAACTTTAATTAGAAAAATGACAAAATTTTATTACATTAATGTACAACCTCTTGGTGTATCTAAAATCTGAGCTTCTGGTTTTTGTCAGGTTAGTTTATAAGTATCCATAATTTCCAAAGTATCTCTGCATTTGTCACCGTTAATAAAGAGAACTGCTTCCTCTCCCGCCCCTGTCATGCTCCTTCACCTAACAAAGTTCTCTTTCCTTTATTCTGCATGCTCTCCTTAGCCTCTGGCCCTGACCTGGAAAAGGTCCTCACAGCTCTTTGGCTCACAGACCAAAGGAGCTGAAGGGAGCTGTCACTTGTCTCTGACTAGTCAGCACTCCTTTTGTATCGCTGTGTGATTGATGGAGAAGAACCTTAAGCCTTGTTAATCAGCACACAAGGGAGCAGAAAATTATAGAGGCTGATAAGTTCCTTGAAGTCACTTTTATATTGAAATCCCTTGAAAATTTCATATTGGGTAAATTTTATCAGGCCTTATTCAATCAAAGTAGTTTACTTGAAAATGGTTTATGCAGAGCAATTGCAGTAGTACAGACTGTTGCAGCATACTAATATTTTGAAGTACTGAGACCATATTTTGTACCTGTCCAACAAAACAAAATTGCCCCAAGGTAGCATTTGCCAATTCGCTGAACACAGTTTGCTTCCAACATAGTTTTAAGCTCTCCCATATCCAATTTATATACTGTGCTGACAGAAGCAAAGCACTAAATCCATTTACAGTTCCATTTTGAAGACAGATGATGAATTTAAATTATCAATGTTTAATTAGTTTGGGTTTTTTTTGTCTGTTGTGGTTTAACCTCAGCCAGCAACCAAATAAACAGCAACAAAACCCACCAGATGGGATACCCAGAACTGGTTGACACAGGCATCTGCTCTAGGTCATCAGTCTGTTTTTTGCTTGCATCCTTTTTTTCCCCAACTGTGCTGCCTTCCCAAGACTAGGCATCAGATTAAGGTTCAGTAGACAATGTGTCTTCTGTTAATCACCAGCTGTTGTTTCCTACCTATGTACTTATATAAAATTCATACCACTACAGAGCCTTACATTCCTCTTTGGAGGAATCTTATATCATTCTGCTTGTATGCACTGTACCTTTTATGGGTTGTCTTGTTTCCTTACTTCCAGGTTCAGCCATTCTCCATGCTCTTGAAATGCTGGGTTACTCTACAGGAGAAGATACTGAAAGAACTCTTTAATGTCTTCCTGTGTATTTTTTCCTTACTTTGCTTCCTTACTGTGTTTACTGAAATTACACATGTCACAGATACTTTGTAAATCAGATACAGAAATCTAAATATTGAAAGAGTTCAATAAAAAAAACCAAAAAAACAACAGCTAACAATCATGAAGAGGAATGTCATACTCTCAATACATTGATTTCCTGTTTATTATTCTCAGTACTATACAATTTTTTGTGATGATTGTTCCCCCTTGACAATTTTACCAAGGGAATTTTGCAAACAAAGCTTTTCTATTTTTGTTCTCAGAAAGCAGATTTGTGTTTCATTGTGTCAAAAAAAGCATATATTTATTCCATTACAGGAGTACACGATAGATGTTTTCTTCCGTCAGAGATGGAAGGATGAGAGATTAAAGTTTAAAGGCCCAATGAACATTCTTCGACTGAACAACTTAATGGCCAGCAAAATCTGGACCCCAGATACATTTTTTCACAATGGGAAGAAGTCAGTGGCTCATAACATGACGATGCCAAACAAGCTTCTACGAATCCAGGACGATGGGACGCTGTTGTACACCATGAGGTATGTTTGCTCCTCTCTGCTCTACTCAAGCAATTTCTTGATGTGATTTTTCCACTGAACAATTAAATCGGGTTTCTGGAGAAATCTCCTTTGTTTTATTTCTCTCTAAGCAGAAAGAAAACTAGAAAAATGTATGTTTTGTTTCCAGATCAGTTAAAAGTCTCTTGGCTGATAATGAGTTAGATCAGTTTTCCCATGTGTGCAGCAGTTTTCATATTTTTGTAATGTATTGAAGATGTTGAACACCTGAATAAAGTTGTTTGAAAGCTTCAGGTAGAGTTTACCAATTCTGTCATAGAATGATTAAAATAGTGTAGGATCTTAGCCTGTTACTGCAGCCATTGTATTGAATCTGTGAGCCCCTCTGCAAATTTTTTATTAAGATCAGAGGCAATAAAAAAATAGAGCAAGAATAAAGAGGTGAAAAGGTCTCAAATTCTTTCCAGCAAAAGGTAAAGAGAAAATATATCTTACTCCATTATTACTTTTTCTTTACATCTAATTAAAATATTTAACTTAGAATTTTAATTTTGTCATCTTTTGCATCATTTGTAGCTAAGATAAATATTTAGCTGGTAAGATGTATGAAATTCACCTAAAAATAGAATATAGAATAGTCTATTATTAGCATTATTATTCTATTATTGCATTATTAGAAAAATTATTAAAAAAACAGGTATACACAGATATTAGTAGCATTTCTATAAGAGTGATTTCTTTTTTGGTATCTCTTTTGGCAATAATGTTACCTATGTGAATTTTTTGGAAATTTTTATCCAAGTGTCCATGAACCCCTGATTTAGTCTTTTTCTTCTTCTTGGAGAATACTTAATAAATTGTAGTTGTAATGACTGTTGACTTAAAATCTCCAGCCCAAGCTAGAAAATGTGAGCTTCAAAGTTAACATGTACTGTGGTACTTTTTCCATGCAGCCATGCCAGCATCCCTGAAACCCAGTTTTACTACACAGCTCTGAAACCCTTACCTTAGCCCAAGTATGGAGTGTTGACTGCTAATGACATGGGGTGATGTAGTGCTCGGAGAGATTCAGAAAAGTTTGCTTGAAGTAAATTGAGACCCCTTGTGTTGTATTTTTGCTTTGGCTCAAATCAATATTTGAGAATTATCTGTATAAGCTGACTGAAATTCCCTTCCTCCAGAGGGTATAGTAATCATATACTATAAATAGTAGGAAATCCTGTTTGAAACCATTTTGAAGTATAAGCTGGGTCAGGTTAATTATAATTAATGAAGCATTTTGGTTACTTGTAAGTCTGTTGGTTCTCAGGGTATGAGATTAATGTGTACCCTGATCTAACTGTTTTGCCTAGATTTTAAACAGCTGTTTTTATTGTGTCTACATAAAATGATTATGTGATTTACTTCAGAGGCTCATGCAGTCCTTTGTCTTCAGCTGTTTGCTGATTCTTATCTCTTGGTGCCCCTTGAATTCAGATAAACATTCTTGGGGGATGGAGGAGTAGAAATGTGAAATATTTTTTGGTGGAAGGCTGGGAGAAAATAGCAGAGAATACAATGACTTGGAACCACTAGGAGTACAGAGGGATATAACTGATGTTTGATGAGGAGGAAGAAAAGGCATACAGAAAAAATCTCTACCCAGAGAAGACTTATGGGATAGGAAGGAAAAGCTTTCTTCAAATTGTTTTAATTTTTTTTATTGTACTAATCCCCATATAAGATACTGGGATATTGCTGGGTTTTTTCACAAAATGAGCAAAAGTGGATGATTTGTTAACATAATGTCACACTTTACATAAATAAAAATAATAATCACTAGTAACATGGAGAATGAACAGAAGCAATCTTTTGAAAGAACACAAATATTTTTTCTCTGTATCTTCCATTCAAACTGTAAAAAAATTAAATTCAGAACACTGGAGTAGGGTTCTTTGGCAAGTTGATTGTATTTTAGATGCTTTTTAAATAAGCCTTTAAAAGCCATATTAGCACACATGTATTTCAGAATACTATGAGAAGAAAATTATTGTTTTAACAACTTGGCATAACTTAATTTATATTTTCCTTTAAATGACCTTTGTTCATTATTTTGAGGTCAGCTTTTATAGATTCTTGATAAGTAAATGCCTTTCAAAGGAACACATAAAATGGAAGAAGTAAAAGCTGGTTTAAATTCTTTTTAGTTTAATATAAAGTTTCAATTCAGTCTAATAAATTGGCATGAACTCTGTTAATCTCTGTGGAACTGATTTTCTTGTTTTGCTGAGTGACTTAAATGCATAGAGGTCTTTTGCCTTTTAGGCTTACAGTCCAAGCTGAATGTCCAATGCACTTGGAGGACTTCCCTATGGATGCTCACTCATGCCCACTGAAATTTGGCAGCTGTAAGTATATAATATGAAGTACAGCCTTTGGTTAATAATATTTCTCAGCATAGTTTTGTTTCAGTAAATTGTTACATGAGAAATTTAAACCAGAAGATGGGACTTTAAAAGAAAATTTGTAACCTGACACATCAAAATCTCTTTTTCTCTATTTAAGTGTTGTGTCTTCTAGTGTCTTTTAAAGATTTCATTACTCCAGTTAACAATAGATACCCTGCACATGATCAGCACTGCCCTGGTCTATTTTCATTGCAGTGTGCAAATCATAACACAGAACTGGATGCACGTAGCCTGTGTAATATTAACAAAGAGCAGATCTAAGGCTTCAATGAGTGCTTTTTTTTCGATTTATCATGACAACTTAGTTTCTCTTTATTGTTAATGATATTTTAATGTTTTTATTCAATGAAGGCAATAGTGGATGGCTTTATGTGAGAAAAAAAAAATCATTTTTTAGTGGATGTGCATGTTAGAGACAGGTGGAATTTGACCTCACAGGTATTATTTTTAACAGCAGCATTATTTCACTTTCTTAGATTACAGCCATTCTTATTCTTTTTCATTATATATATTTCCTGGATTTTGTACATTAAAGCTTTCCTTTTTTTTTTTTTTTTCCCTTTGGCTGCAGCCTACATTCTCTGCTGGGCCAAGGAAAGGAAATGTGTTTTTTTTTTTTGAGGAAACAAGTTAAAACCTATAAATTCTGGCTGACTTTACAAAAGTCATTCAAAATTTGTCATACAAAAATTGTTGCAACCACAGAATACAAAGCAGGGGATATGCTGCCACTAAGGACATCATTGACCACATGATGCTCGTCACAGCACTGTGCCAGTGTGCACAGTGCCATCGTGCTCCAATATCCCTTTTCCTTGGAGTCTGTGGCAAATTAAATGAAGCCTGCACTTCTGATGTGTCCACACTTGAAGGAAATCTTAGTTATGGAGATAAAAGATCATTAGAATGAATACTATTTGCATCATGAAGCTTTTTCTCACCCCTTCAATATTATATCTGTAATTCATAATTCAACCTAAATAACTAACACCAGAGATGTTAGCCAAAATTGGCTACTGACTAATAATATTTACATGTATGTGCCCAGTGAAGCATGTTGGATTTATAAGGTGTTGGAGGAAAAAAAGACTTATATGTAGCTTCCAACTTGAAAATTCCAGTAATAATGAAACTCAGGCTAAAAGGCTACTTTCTTCATGAGCAGTTTTAGGTTACAAACCCTTATGGCTAGTAGGTGTAGTACACTTTGTGTGAACCACTTCCTTTTTTGTCTTTTTTTCAGTCTTGACTGTTTGTTTTTCTTACCAGCTTGCTTTTTTTTTCTCTGCCTATGATTTTCTAATAATCAGAGGAATTCTAAATGTGAGCAATGTGATTTAAAAAAAAAGTGTCTTTCATTTCCCTCAAAGTCACCTGTGCTCCAGCCTCTTGGCACATTCAGGGGACTCTTATTTCTGTTCATTTTGAATGGCTTCACACACATTTTATTTCTTTACCTAGGACTCATTTCTAGACAACTATGCATTTTTCAGCTTTTATTCTGGGATAGAATCTGAATGATGAATAGTGGTGAAAATAAGCAGGAATCCTGAGGATTTTGGTTTAACTAAGGCAAGTTTGCCAATGGTATATATTTGTCACAGCTCTTCATATGCTGCTAATCTTATGTTGCTAGGAGGATCATCAGCATGTATGAATGTCTCTTTTTATACATAAGAGAAAAGCCAAACTGAATGTATGGGAGAAGCTGTAGTTTAATAGATTGCTTTTCTTTATTCTTTACAAAAAGTCTAGCTGACAGTGAAGAGAATGGAGACAAATCAACAATTTGCCGTACTGCTGGTTTGCATCAAAGCAGAGATATTTTTGTGGAAAGCTGAAAGGATAGATGGGAAGTGTTAAAAATCTCTGCTTGCTACCCACCTGCTACATTTTGTTAGTCATGCAATTTATGGCTAGTTGCATGAAGAAGCTACTTTTTGAGCCTCTAGAGATTTCTCAAATGAAAATGTTTGCAGACCAACAGTAATGATGCTTTACTTTTTAATTGCACTTGCAATTATGGTGTAAGATTTAATTGTACTTGTCTCAGTCAATCAAAATGAACACACAACTTCTTCCATCAGTGGTTTACCCTTTTCCTTTCATATTCCATTTGTTAATAGGATATTAGACTGGAAAAACTTTCAGGACATACTAATTTTTTCTCTTACTTACTGGAGAGGCATTAGTGCTGTTTAAAGTACTGTGTTGATTTGCTTTTGTACTAGTTTATTTTGAGAGACCAGGCTAAATGTATGTTTGATCATGAATGTACTGAGAGAGCAGCCTGTTTAATGTCAGTGTGTCCCCCAAAATAATGGAAACTAGTGAAATTTAAGAGGGTAGGCAGGACAAGGTACCAGAGTGTTGTCACTGCTGGCTTCCCATATTTAAGTCTGGATTTCAACTAATAATAAAATTCTTGTGATACACCCCCAAAGTTGGAGACAATGGAAGGTCAGAATTATACAGGAATGAATTTTTTAGAATGTTGTGTGTTCTAAATCTTGCAAATTGTCCTTCTTTTCATTAGCCTTATAACAAATTATAGGATACATACAATATCTAATCTCTGGCAAGTCTTTTAAGTGTGGAAGAGATGTTGTTAGTAGATTAATAGAAATAAATTGTGGTTAATAAGATCACAAGTGAGTGCTCTGTTCCCATGCTGCAACAGGCACTTACCTTACAGTAAAGCTATTTCAGACAGTCGAAGATATTTTTTACCACAGAATTTAAAATTCTTTGGGGTGAGTTTTTATTTGAAAAATAAGTAGCTCTTGTAATTCTGTGAGTTTTGATGGATGCTGTTTAAATTGCTGATGAAATATTTTACCTTGTTTCTCACAGATGCATACACAACTTCAGAAGTGACGTACATTTGGACTTACAATGCTTCAGATTCAGTGCAAGTGGCACCAGATGGCTCAAGACTGAATCAGTACGATCTTTTAGGCCAAACAATTGGAAAAGAGACAGTTAAGTCAAGTACAGGTTAGTAAAAGATATTTTGGAGAAAAAGACAATTGCTGGCTGTGAGAACTATATTCCAGGTGGTGTTAAAGGCTTCTGAAAAAGAGTGTTGCAAAATGTGATCTATTAGATGTGTACAAGTAACACAAAAGAGCAATTCACTGATTCTTTCAAATTATACTTAACTGGTGATAGCAGAGGTGAACTTGCCCTCAGCAACTGTTTTCTAAAATTATATCTGGAGCACCATGTTAAATCCTAACATTTGTAACCCGGGGTGGGATATTTGTTGAATTTCATTTTGTAAACAACATAGATTTTGTCTATTAAATGGTAAAGCAGACAGGTTTCAACCATGTTCCCCTCCCATCGTGTTTTTGACGTTAAACACTGGAGTATTCTGCCAGACTCTAGACTGGTTTCCTTCATGTGCCAGGCTGTGATGGACCCCCATGAGTGCCTTCTAATGGTGATTAAGTTCTCAGAGAGCTGTTGTGTGAAGACAGGGAGTTGCTTATGAGCAGAAGCCTTCAAGGCTGAAGTACTTCTCAGTGCATACAAGAATTCCTCATCTTTCATTCAACACAGTGGGAATCAGAAATAGCTGTACTCATTGTCTTTCTTATAATCTATGGGATGCTTTCTATTGCAAAATACCTTTGGTACAATATAACCCTAGAACATTTGTTTCACAAAAATATAGCAAACTTTCCCTTATCAAAGAAGTTGTCTTTCTTAAGATGATAATGTTTTGTTTCATTGTATTTTGTTTGTTTGTGGCACCTAGGTGAATATACAGTAATGACGGCTCATTTCCACTTGAAGAGAAAAATTGGTTATTTTGTCATTCAGACTTACCTCCCCTGTATCATGACTGTCATTCTGTCTCAAGTGTCATTCTGGCTGAACAGAGAATCTGTGCCTGCCAGGACAGTCTTTGGTGAGTACACCGAGTAGCATTAGCTCTGTTTGCAATAGTTGAAGATGCTAGAAAGTACTTCTGAAGTAAAGAGCTTTTTCATTCAAGTTAAAGCGTTTGTAGAATGTGATATGATTTCTAGTCCAAACAGCTTTCAACTGCAGCTTGCACATCTCCTGAGAATCCCAAAGATTTTAGAAATTAGTACATGCAAGCAAACTGTCCTCATATATCATTGATTCTTTTAAGAGGAAAAAAAAATCACAGAATAAAAAAAAATTATAATGTTTCTAATTAAAAAGTAAATTTAGTAAACTTAGATATTTTTCTGAAATAACTTACTTACCTTGATATTATCCAGGTATTCTGGTACTTGGTAGATAAGCAAATTTCTCAATTTATTTGTAAATTAGGAAAATTCATTTTGAATTTGTTGAACAATTTGTGTTAAAATTTCAAGCTGAAGTTCTTTTAAAGAAATTCTATTCTGGAGTTTTGGGCAACACTTTTTTGCTAATTCAAATTGGAAACTAGTGTTAGGCAGCAGACAGGTTCAGCAGAGCAATAAGTGGTGTTTCTCAAAGTAAAAAATGTTCTTATTTGCAAAGCCAAGTTCATTTAGTTTGTTTGCTTTTAAAGAAAAATAAATTAGCACAATAAAATTAATGTCTGTGTGGAATCAGTCATCAAAAATGCTGCATAAAATTGTATGATTAGTCATCAGTAAACACCATGTACTCTTCAAAAAATAGGCCAAACTCAAATGCATATTAAGTATGATGCACAACAAAGCATCTGCTGTCACTCCTGGTAGAGAACATGCCACACAAAACATTGTGAAAATTGCAGGTTTGAATATGAGCCTTATTGAAGTCAGATGAAATAGGTCAGTGGTTTCAATGGGACCAGAATTATACCATGGTTTTCCAGGCAGCTATCAGGCAGGGTTTTTTTGGTCTTTCTTCAAAATCTTCTGTGAATTTATCTGGTTTTGATTATGAAAATGTACACTCCTGTTTTCCAGCCTTGCAAGTACACTGTCAAATCCTTCTATATCTCTTTCTTTGCCCTTTTCTGTATCCACTCCACTACATTTAGGACAGTGTGATTGATTTCTCCAAAAAAAGTCTCACATCTGGTCTTCCTAAAATGTACTTTTCGTTACTGTGTCACTGGTAACAAGGTACTCCCATCCATAGCAAGGCCTTGGGATAATTTTCCTGAAGTGTGTGCCTTCCTGCACAACTCGTTCTTGATTTTTTTCCTGTTTAGTATATATTTCTTTTAGAAATAAGTAGTATCTGCATGGCAGCCTGCTGCTTTGCTCTCCTGGGGTTTAGTATAATGTGGATAATGAAGTATCATGCTTCAGGATGTCATGAGTGAAGTGCAAGGAGGGCCACAAAAACAGAATCACACTGCTCAGTGACACAAAACCTGAAATCTGTTTACTAAGAATGATGGGTTTACGCAGACTTAGCAGTTTCATGCTAGTATTTTATTCCTGCTGCACAGACATGAACCCTGTGTGCCACTCAGGGCTCTGTTCCCTCCAGGTCAGCATAGACTGGCACCCTGAACCCAGGTGAAAAGACACATTCTGGCTCTGGCTGTTGGAGAAACCTTAGCTGTAGCATATGCAATGTTTGCTCCTCAGGCTTAGCCTTTTCCTTTGGGTTGGGTTGGATTTTCCCTGAGGAGCTATTTCATAGCATTCCTTTACACTCTAGATGAGATTGTCAGCATAAGCTGCCAATGGGCTCTCTAAATACATAGCCTCAAGTGGATCTCCCAGCCTTTCTCCAAACCTACTGGCAGCAGCTGTCACTGGGATTTCTGATACTCTCTGGTCTCTTGCCTGAGTGTGTTACTGAAATGTGCAGCTAGTCACAGTTTCATAACAAATTTTGTCTATTGCTCTGTAGTGGTTTTTGACTGTACTGAAATATTCTTGTCAGTTAGAGCTGGGCTGATTTACTCAAGGTTTCATCTGGGTGATACTTTGAAGCAGACTCCATCCAGTGACAAAAGAAGCCCATACTACAGTTACCTTAATGAAACAAGCTACATTCAGCAGGGAATATAAAAATCATAGGAGGTATTCCTTTACACTTTTATTGATCCTACTTAATTTTTAGTTTTTATATGGAGTTGTCACTTGCTAGATACCCATCTTTGCATTGTGTATTAAATATATCAATATTAAAATATAATTAATCAGAAGTTACTGGTTTTGACAAAGTGTTTTTGAAAATCAGTGAAATTAAATGAGAAATTTATTTCAACGACCTTCTTGAGAGCTAAGGACCAGCTACTGGAATACTGTTCCTTTCAAAGAAGCATAACTTCCAGTTATTCAAAGCACTTAGCATGTATTATTTCATGGGTGAGAAAAATTACTTTTCCCTTTCTATTCTCTTGCAATGTGGTTTCAAGTTCTAGGTTAACATTAGGGGTTGGTACAATGAGGCTTATTTTATACTTGAGCCCTTTAATCCCTTTTCTTTATGGCATCTATTTAATATTGTTGACCTGCCCTATCCCAAATGAATTATGGCCTAATGCTATATTACTTCAACTTTGCTTGAAATTCGTGGGAGAAGAAAGTTTTGTCATCCTTGATTAAATAAATCTTGAATGTGTTTTCTCTAGCAGATAAATCTGATTGCATTCTTAATGAAAGAGAATAAGACTGGTTCATAATGCCTTCATTTAGTGCAAGATTACAATCTGTTTCATTTAGTAATGTGTTTATTGTTATGCATTTAGTGTCAACAATATTAGCAAAACTAATCTTGTGCAGCTTATTGGATTCTTGCTTCATTTTTAGTGGGTCATAGCATTTAGAAGCATCACATGTATTTGAATTGCGGTATTAGATACGCAGGTGACAAAATCAGAAATTAGTTTTCTTAGTGCTACAGTTTTCTGTGTTTTAACTCACATGGAGTATTGATGAGAATGATAAAATAAATGTAGTTAGGTATCTATGCTTTGTTAACTGAAGCAGGAGAGAACAAAAATTTGTCTTACTATTTATTATATTGTCTAAGATAAAGAATTTTAAATTCACATAGTTCTTTTGTCAGTTCATTATGATAATTTTATTGCTACTCTACATTCCTGTGTCTGTTTTTACTTGTTCATGGTGTGGCTCCTTTCCATGGGGTGCAGTCCTTCAGGAGCAGACTGCTGCAGCATGGGTCGCCCGTGGAGCTGCAGGTCCAGCACAGGTTTTCCATAGTGTCAAAGCCTCCTCCAGGCCATCCTTGCATGGGGTCCTCCATGGGCTGGAGGTCAGTCTCTGCTCCACCCTGGATCTCTCTGTGGGCAGCAGGGGCACAGCTGCTTCACCATGGTTTTTACCACAGGCTGCAGGGGATTTCCTCCTCCAGTGCCTGGAGCACCTCCTTCCTCTCCCTCTCCCTCTCCCTCTCCCTCTCCCTCTCCCTCTCCCTCTC